CGTCGGTACGACCGTACCGACGGGGGGCGGCAGGGCGACGGTGCCGGGGCTCGGTGCCCGCCGCTCCCGGTGGGTTGCGCAAACCCAGCGCTGACGATCCCCGCCCGTTATTTTTCCCTTTTCATAATTCGGGCTAGTAGTAGCCCAGGGAGAAGTGAAAAATTGCCCCCGCCACCACAAATTCCTGTTCCCAGGCCAGGAAGGCGTAGTTGAAGAGTCACCCACCCCTGACGTAACCCTTCTCCTTGGGAAGACCCACCGGGTACCGGGAGTTTCCCCGAGTTGGCAACGTGGGCTATAAGAGTGGGAGCTGTTGGCCAGTGAAAGGGTAGAAGCCCTGGAGCTCTGCTCGCACGCCCAGGCCATGCTGCCACCCCTGAGGGTTGTCCTCTTTCCTCCTGTGAGTATTTGCAGCTGGGGCTGGGATGGTTGTGGGGACATCTACGACTTTAGGATCTCAGGGGGTGGCTGGGATGTGTCCACGGGGAAGGGGATGGGAGGGAAAGCTTCTCGGGACACGAGCGGAGCAGGGATGGGGTGATGGTGGCCTCTACCCCCTGTGTGCAGTGTGCCCAGGTGGCCAAGAAGGCCAACAGCATCGATCCCTGTGGTGAGTAGGACCCAAGAGGTGATCATCCCCCTGTACTCGGCACTCGTGAGACCCCACCTTGAGTGCCGTGTCCAGTTTTGGGCCCCCCACCACAAGAAAGACATTGAGGTGCTGGAGCGGGTCCAGAGAAGGGCAACGAAGCTGGTGAGGGGTCTGGAGAGTAAGTCTTAGGAGGAGAGGCTGAGGGAGCTGGGGGGGTTCAGTCTGGGGAAGAGGAGACTGAGGGGAGACCTTCTCACTCTCTACAACTCCCTGAAAGGAGGGTGTAGAGAGGTGGGGGTCGGTCTCTTCTCCCAAGTCACAGATGATAGGACAAGGGGTAATGGGTTCAAGTTGTCCCAGGGTAGGTTTAGACTGGACATTAGGAAACAATTCTTCACAGAGAGAGTGCTCGGGCATTGGAACAGGCTGCCCAGGGAGGTGGTGGAGTCACCATCCCTGGCTGTGTTTAAGAACCGTTTAGATGTGGTGTTGGGGGATATGGTGTAGGGGAGAACTTTAGAGTAGGGTAGACTCGATGATCCCGAGGGTCTCTTCCAGCCTTGATAATATTGTGATTCTGTATTTCCTGTCCACACACACACACAAGCCAGGGCTGACCCCATTTCTTCCTCCATTTCCACCTCCTTCCACCACCATTTCTTACCAGCAAACCCCCCCGGGACAGTGAGTACATGGGGGGCTCCTGGGTGTGTGCAGAGGGTGGAGGTATCAGAGGAGAAGCTGCTCTCCCTGCAAGCCTGTCCTGTGCCTGGGTCAAAGCTGTGGGAAGCAAAGGAAAGTAAAAAGTCCTCCCCTAGAGATCAGACCTAGAGGCGCACTGTGTTGCTGAGTCACCCCTGGTTCCTCCTCCAGGAAGAAAGGTTTACAGGGGTCCTAAAACCAGGGCAGGGAGGAAACCCGAGCGTTGCTTGGACACATCCCCCTTACCCCAGCATGGGCAGAGGTGAAGGCGGTGAAACAGGGTGACACCAGCCCCAGGAGCAGTTTGGGAACGGTGGAGGAACTTGCTGCAGAGACACTGTAAAGCAAGGGTCTGACACAAACCATCCCGTTTGATTCTCTTTCAGAACGCAGACACGAATGGGCTTGTCCACTCGGTCTGCTTCCATGGGTAGAGCCCACCCTCCAGCTGGGAGATGCGGGATCGAGACCTCACCAACGCTTCATCTCTCTCCTGGTTGCACCATTTCTCCCCACCCACCGGAGGAAGCCCCAGAGCGGAGGCGGTGGCCCGGCCGCTAGCCCTGCTCAGGAAGGAAGCAGGGGGAGACAGGCAGGAGGTCTGTGAGAATCAGCAGCAACGTTATCTGCTTCCCAGCTGGGATGGGAGAGTGCTGGGAAGGAAGAGGAGCTCTGCTCTTCCCCTTCTCAGCGCGGTATTTCATGGTTGGGAGGTACCAAATAACTCCCGTAAAACACTGTCCTGGGCACGCTCTGCTTCATGCTGCCACCGGGACAGGAACTTTGGTATTTCTGCTAAATCCTTACTGTCTGTCTGGTCCAAAACAATAAAATAAACAATGCCAAATCTACCTTGGAGAAGTTTCTTTGGGGGCCGGAAGGCCCAGGGGAGGTGTGGGAACAGGGTGAGCTTTTCCAGCCCTTCGCATGCAAAGTCTCACTTTCTAAAAGCCCCTGTCCCTCATTTCAAGTCCATCAGCTGGGTTATGTGGCCTGGGAGTCTCAGCAAAACCCAAGCAGAAGAGGTGTTCACCTACCTTGGGAAGCCAGGCCAGGCTGTCAGGACTTAAAAATATCAGTAAAATATCTACCAGCATCTGTTCGGCCCCGCAGTGTCCTCTGAAATGGCTGCAGAGATGCGAGATTCTAAAGCCTTCATAAGGCCTTTCAGTAACAGGAGAGAACTCCAGAAATAAGCATCCCTTCCTCGCACCGCGGTGTTTCTGTTGGCAAAGAAACAAACCCCACTGCGAAAAAAAGGAGCTCTGTTTTATTAACCAGAAGTGCCATCAGCCTGATGTCGGGGAGAGAAGGTCTCCACGGCGCAGCCCAAGGCACAGGTGAAGAGCAGAGGCAAAGCTGGCTGAAGTGGGGCTGATTTATCCCATTTTTTTGCTCTGCCTTCCCAAGCTCAGAGCTGGAGGTGTTTCTCCATCTGCTCCCTCAGCTTGTATTTCTGAATCTGGAATAAAGCACAGAGAGGAGGAGGAGGAGAGACTCAGAGAGGAGATGGGACAGGAGGCTCCTGCCCTGCCCCAGCCCCTCTTACCTTGCCCGAGACGGTGAGCGGGTACTGACTCACAAACACGACGTAACGTGGGATCTTGAAATGGGAGATCTGGGAAGAGAAGACCCAACTGCTACACAACCTGCTGGGACAACGTAGCCCACCCCGCTGGTACCACCCAACCCAGGGCTGGATCTCCAGGTGCTCAAATCCCTGGGCTTTCATCCGCAAGCCCCTGGTCCAGCAGGGGTCTGGATTACTGGGCACAGCGGAGTGGGAGACCCACCTTCCCTTTGCAGAAAGCTTTAATCTCTTCCTCGGTGCAGTCCTGCCCAGCCCTCACTCGGATGCAGGCGCAGATCTCTTCTCCCAGCCGCGAATCCTTCACGCCAACCACCTGGTTGGGACAGACGAATGGTGTGACCCCTGGGGACATCCCTCTCCTCCCTCAGGGTATGCGTGCTGGCCCATGGCATGAGCCGTGACCCATGTCACGGGATGCTGGAGTCGTGGTGTGGGGCTGTGTAAAGGCAACTCGAGCTGCCTGACCACCCCACTGGTGCTATCTACACAACATCAAGCCCACCTGGAAGGACTTCCCCAGCAGAGGAAAGGTGGCAGAGCCGGCTGGGTGCCCACACCCCAGCACCTTCCTTTGGTTTTGCAAAGTCACTGGAGCGAGGGCTGAGGCAGACCAGCCAAGTGGCAGCTCATCATAGGTACAACATGGACCTGTCCTCCCTCTCCACACTTCTACTTCCCTCAAAAATGGGGCAACAGGTTTCAAGACCAACAGGGAGACTTGGGAGACTACTTCAAGTGCTTTGGGATCTCCCAATGAAACTGCAGGAGGGGGATGAAGTGGAATTAAAGGATTATTTTAAACCCTTATGATGGCAGATCTTAGTGATCCACTGACTGTGACACCAGGAGATGGGCTTCCCAAGCCTGATCTCTCTCTGAAGTTTGCTCACACCGTTTCACAAGAGTCCTACTGTCATTCCCTGCCTTGAACCGGTATCTCAAAATTCTAGAGACACGTCGATCCTTTTGAGTCCAGAGCAGTGACATAAAGCCCTAGAAACTACATAAACAGGGCTGGTTTGCAACCCATCTGCACTGGGGCTGTTCCAGGGAGAGACGCTAGCCTGGCACAGGCACAACACTGACTAAATAACTGGTTTATTTATGGGGAAACTTGTCTGGCACAAAACCTGGAGGAGAACAATCCCAGCAGATTGGGAGCAGCTGCTCTATGCTGCAAATCATTGCTGTCTTGCGAAGGGGTGAAACTAAGTCTCACTCCTCATCTCCAGGGACTCGTTGGAGAAGCCTTTTTGGATTTAGGAGTTCAGTAATTAATTATCAGTTCGAACTGTCCTTCCAGACTGCTTTCCAAGTAAGAATTTCACAAAGAGCCATGGAAGTGGACAGGAAGTTTAAAAACTGAAGAAGAATCACAGTCACTACTTTGCAGACGTGAAGCTGGTGCACAAGGGGATTGCCCAAACCGATGTGCCCCGTGCCAGGAGCTCTGCCTGCCCCTCCATGAGCCTTTCCCTCCCACTCACCAACCCATATTACACAAAAGGAGATGCTGAAAACAGGGGAAGACAACCAGGTCCCAAGCAGCAGTCCCAGCAGCTTTGTGTACACGTTTCCCACCACAGGAACCATTGCTGCACACCCGTCTCACCTCCACCCCACTCACCTGGACCTCCTCAACCTTGGGATGGGTGTGGAGAAACTGCTCAAGTTCTGCTGGGTAGACGTTCTCTCCTCCCCGAATAATCATGTCCTTGCAACGGCCTATAATTTTGCAGTAGCCGTGTTCATCCAGGCTCGCAAGGTCCCTGCAACAACACCACACTCCTGGTCCTGTCCCAGCTGGGTGGAAGAATGGCTGATGCTCCCACCCAGCCTGGTCTGGAGTCCAGGTCAGGAGGATAACGGTTGAGACGCCACCTGAACATGTGGCCAAGATCAGAGAGCTCCTGCTACAGCCAGACACTGCCATCAGCAGCATCCACACAAAGGTCAGGGCTCAGGAGGAGGCGATTCCTGCCCTTGCTGTGTACCCCCACGGCCCCACCATTGCCCCAATAGCGAGGTGACCATCTCCAGAGGCACCTGGCACTGAGGGCTCTGTGCTAAAAGCTGTTCTGAACCTTCACAGATGCATCAGAGGGCTAAATTGGGTCAGTTTTCCCTACTTTGGAACTCCCAGCCAAGGCACTCCCATACACACCCGTCCCCCTCCAGCGTCTCCCTGCAGGACAGACCAGGAGGAGCAGGGCTGTTCCCAGACTCACCCCGTCTTGTACCACTTCTCTGCAGTGACCACTTCACTCGTCTTGGCGGGGTCACCCCAGTAGCCCAACATGACACAGTAGCCACGGATCTGAAGCTCCCCAGGAGTGTTCAGAGGCACAGGCTGCCCTGTTTCTGGATCCTCAATCTTTGCCTGCAGTTCAAGAGAAGAAGGGAGCAGGAGGGGATGTCTGAACCAAACGTGGTGGCATGTCCCAAGCCCACCACCAGCCAGGGAGGACGATTCAAGCTCTGCTGCAGGCAGAGAACCTGGAGCAGGAGGGGAAGGTCATGGTCACCTCTGTGTGGGGAAAGATGCATCCCACCGTCTCAGTTTTTCTGGTGAGGCTGTCATTGGGGAATCCCATGAAGGTGACAGGGCTGTTTTCTGTGGTCCCATAGGCAACCTGTAAACACAGGAGGAGATAAGTGCCTCGAGGGGAAAAAGGACCGCACGGCTCCAGGCATGGGAAGGATGAAGCTATTGATAAGCACAGGGGAGGCTGGGGTGGGAAGAGGGTATTCTCACAAGTCACTCAGGTCACAAGCAAACACTCTGCTCTCCTGGCCCATGGACGAGGCTCTCCAGACACTCCTGCCCAAGAGTCCTGGAGAGACAGGAGCTAAGGCAGCACTGCTCCTGTCTGCCATGGACTTCCTCACCTCCACCGCTGTGCTCCAGAGCCCCACCACTCATGACACTCGGGGTGTCATGTACTTTTGACACCCCAACTGCTTGTCTTGGAGGACCTGGGGTTCACCCTCCTCTTTTTTAACCTACGTCTCTCCAAGCCCTGTCCTGTTGGCTCCCGACCATTTCTGCCAGACACCGATCTTGCCTTGGTACCCTTGCAGCCACCTACTCAAGGTGCTGAGTTCACCTTCTACAGCTCAGATATCACAATGGATATCACTTGGGAAAAACCCTGGAGCCAGCAGTGGTCTCTCCTGTGGGAGACGGCGTGTCCCGCAGCGCGGCTGCTCGCTCCTGATCCTTTTGTGCAGACATCAGCTCCTGTGACCCTCCTGAAGGCATCACGAGGCTGCCCAACGCTCGGCGCAGCTGCACTTACAGCCCAAAAGCCTCACAGCAGGACAAAAGCTTCTCGCTGCTAAACCTCCCTCACCGCTAATCCCAACGGCAGGCTCTGAGTCACCTCAGCTGAAGGTCACTTCTCCTCGGAGGAAAATTCCAGCCCTTTATGCCCAACGCAGGGACCTGCCGAGACAGCGGGAGCTGGGCAGGAGCTGCTCTGGGCAGCCCGGAGCTGCACCAACAGCACCATTGCTGGAATTGCTGCTTCACCTCCAGCTCTTGGGAGCTGCGTTTCAGTGGTGAGACATGCAGAACCATGTTGTGTGTCATCAGGAAGGGCTTCTCTCCCATCCCACTAATGTCACTGATGGCTGCTTTGCTGGCAGAGCACAGCTGGGAAAGGGCTGATGCCGTTTGCTCCTTTCTCCTCCGCATCTTTAAGGTCCCTTCCAACTCTAATCATTCTGTGATCTTCAGACTGACACACGAGCAGCTCTGACACACTGAATCACAACAGGGCCCGGCCATTTTCCTACGACCTTGGCACCCAGACCTGTTTTGTGCATTTAGAGCAAATATCCAGACTCCACCGCTGGCTGCACGGCCGGGGCCTCTGCGCGGTGCTCAGTGAACCCCGAGCACTGCGCCCCAAATTAACGAGGGACTTGGCAAAGGACTCTGATGAGGCATCCTGAAAAAACATGCACGTCTCCTGCATGAGCTGTACGTAATACTGGCGGGAGCACTTTCTGCTGCTCAGGGCTCCTGAAGGATCTCACATTGGGCACAGTCTGTCGTCAGGGCTGATGCTCTTGTTTGACTGCACCGGGGTCAGCGTGAATCCCAGCTGGAGATTTGCGGGAGCCTCCTCTCAGCCAGGAATTTGGAGGAGATCGTCTCCAGGATGCTGCAGGGACCATCTGGTGTAAACTGCTCTGCTAGGAGCCTGGCATCCCACAGGGAGCCACTGTAAATAGGCTTCTCCTACCAGACACAAT